GAGCTGAGAACAGAAGAAGAGCGTGTAGAACGCCAAGAAACAGAGCCAGAGCCAAGGCTGAAGGTGTAGCCCTGAGACGACCGCTGAGTAGCCTGGTCGTCAGCCCAAGAAGCGTCTGAGTGCCCAGTGAGTACAACTCGGTCTCGTCCTCCAAGCACTAGCCCCATGCCCGACGTACTGCACAAGTAGCGCAACACCCTCTTAGCGGCATCCATGTGCTCCTTCCGGTGACGGCCAGGAGCGACATAGCGTGCAAGGATGCTAAGAGGGTATGCAAGGTCAGGTCGAGTGCAGGTCATCAGGTACATGAGGCAGCCCACAAGCTCTGGATACGGGCCACTCGGCTCTACGGACTCATCCGAAGGCAGAGCTGAGAGCGAGTGAACGGTAGGCAGAGGAGTACGTGAAGCGGAAGCGCTGAAGGACCTGCTGCACCATGTGTGACTGAGTCAAGGTGATGGTGCGCCGTGCTCTGTCCCGGGTGATCCGCAAGCCAAGATAGCTTGTCAGTTCCCCCAGGTCTGTGCACGTGTGTCTCTTCTGCAGCTCCGACTTCACGTGGGCGAGTGCCGCAGTGTCAGCAGTGGCAAAGACCAAGTCGTCAACGTACACTAGGATGTAGAACGGCGGCAGCGAAGTGTCGGTGCATAGAAACAGCGACGGGTCAGCAGTAGAAGGAGCGAACCCAAGAGCCGCAAGCGTAGTCCTCAGTGTGTCGTGCCACTCACGCGGCGCCTGTCGGAGACCGTAGACTGGCCGCCGGAGGCTCCACTGGGTACCGGGAGGGAACGATCCAGTGAAGCCAGGTGGGCGGCGCAGCCAGATCTCCTCGTGCAGGCTGCCCTGTAGGAAAGCAGTGCTAAAGTCAAGAGAGTGGAGCTCGTAGTCACGCTGAGCGGCGACGTGCAGCAGAACCCGAAGAGTGGTCATCTTCGGGGTCGGGGAGAAGGTCTGGAAGAAGTCAACTCCCTCTCGCTGACTGAAGCCTCGTGCAACGTAACGCGCCTTGAAGACAGGCGGAGAACCCGGCGGCCGCTTCACCCTGAAAATCCACATGCCACTGACGATGTTCGCCCCAGGTGGGGGAACCTCGTCAACGTAGGTGCCTGTGGACTTCCAAGAAGCCATCTCTGCGTCCATGGCTGTCTGCCACTGAGAGGAGTACTCACCCGCGATCTCCTCAGTGTAAGAGCGCGGGGTCGGGATGTCTGGAGCATCCGGGTCTCCCTCAGGGTCAACCAGCATGGACACGAGATGAGGTAAAGCAGCGGCAAAGCACTCAAACTCCTCCTGCCTGTCCTCAAGGACGTCCGTGCCAAGAGCACACTCACCCCCGACGGACGGAGGACAGACAGACTCAGACTCAGCAACAAGGCTAGCGGCGTAGTCTAGACGACAGGCGGCAGCAAAGGCAACTAACTCAGCGACTAGAGCAGACGCAGCAGAGGACTCAAAGGTAGGGTCAGTGACAACAGTGGCGAGGAGACGCGTGACAGTAGGACTGGCAGCACGAAGGGAGTCAGACTCCGGGTCAGCAAGAGCAGGAATAGAGGAAGCAGGAGGAGACGGCAGAAGGACACGCTGGGGAGCAGTGGAAGGACGAAGCGCCATCTGGTGAGTGCCTGGGACAGCAGGTGGACGCTGACGCGGGACACGACGACCAGTGCGAGCAGCACAAACAGGCGACGCTGACCGAGACTCTGGCGACACAGGACGAGACTCAGGCTCACGACGCTCAGTGAGACCGCCTGTCGGACCAGTGTAAGGAGAAGGACCAGGGAGTGGCGAGGCAGGCGGTAACTGTGACTGCGACTGGACAGGCGGTTGACACTCTAAGGAGGGAGCAGGACTAGGGGGAGGCGGCTGACCAAGAACCTGCTGAAGGAGCGGAACAAAGTACGGCCGCGGCCGCGCAGCGCCTCCAGAACCAGCAGAGGCACCTCCAGTACCCTCAGCGCCAGGGTCTCCAGCTACACCGGCAGCACCAGCTCCCGGTTCCGCAGCACCAGCAGTAGCTCCAACTCCAGGGTCCTCAGCTCCAGCAGCAGCTCCAACTCCAGGGTCGGCAGCACCAGCAGCAGCTCCAACGCCCGGGTCCTCAGCACCAGCACCACCTCCAGAAGTAGCAGTACCTCCAGCAGCTCCAGCAGCCCCAGCACCAGAAGGACCTCCAGCAGCTCCAGCAGCACCAGTCGCACCTCCAGCAGCGGCAGCAGCACCAGCACCAGCAGCACCTCCAGTAGCACCAGCAGCACCGCCAGCAGCAGCAGCACCTCCAGCACCAGGGTCCGCGACTCTAGGAGCGCCACTCCGGAGACTGCAGCGCCGCGCGTACCACTCTCGGAGCCGCTGAGGAGAGGGCAGCTCCCGCCTAGGAGGGGAAGCACTAGCACCAGCTCCAGCAGCACTCCTAGCTCCAGAAGCACCTCTCCTGAGGCTGCAGTACTGTAAGTACCACTCACGCAGCTGCTGTGAGGAGAGAGCTCCTCCAGGTGTAGCACTCCCAGGCTCAGTACCTCCAGACTCAGCACCCCCAGACTCAGCACCCCCAGACTCAGCACCCGCAGGCTCCGCACCCCCAGGCTCAGCACCCCCAGCCTCCGCAACCCCAGGCTCCGCACCCCCAGGCTCCGCACCCCCAGGCTCCGCACGCTCAGGCTCAGCACCCCTAGCAGGACGAGAGTCGACAGCTACCTCGACAGGCTCAACCGGGTCTACCTGGGACACACCTGAGGGAGCGGCACCCTGAGGGGGGAGGGGGTCTACCACAGCAGCACCTGGCGCGAGGAAGAGAGGCGGGGGGGGGAGCGGGGCAGTGCGGTAGGGGAAGAGGCGGTAGTAGGGCACGGACTCGTCAAAGGTGACGTCCTGAGAGGGCAGGACCCGGCGCGAGGTGGCGTGGTAAAACTGCCAACCAGACGCGTCCGGGACAAAGCCAAGGAAGACACAAGGAACAGCGCGGGAGGAGAGCTTGTCCGCGGACGTATCGCGAACAAAAGCTCGAGATCCCCAGACCCGAAAACGAGACGCATCGCCAACCTCTCCCGTCCAACGCAGTGTCGGGGAAGTCTCCGGCAAGGAGACACGGGGCCAGAGGTTGAGCTGATGCGCAGCGTATCGGACCGCAAACGGCCACAGAAAGTGGGGGGCAGCCGCATGGATCAAGGAGGTACGAGCGACCTCCATGACCAAGCCAATGCGGCGCTCAGCAACCCCATTCTGCTGTGGAGAGGCCGGAAGCGTGAACGACTGCTCAATGCCGTGCTCCGCACAGTAGGCTGCCAAGAGGTCGGAGGAGAACTCACCACCTCTGTCAGAGTGCAGACGCAGGATAGGAAAGTCCGAGTGGAACCTCTCGCTGAGCTGAAGACGGGCTCTGCGGATCCAAGGGATCAAAACATCAGGGACCTCACCCTTGGTGCGCAAGGGGAAGACCGTGGTGTAGCGCGAGTAGTCGTCAACAACAATCAGGAAGTACCTCTCCTGACCCTGACCACGGACGCGGGCTGGGCCCCACACGTCCATGTGGAGCGTCTGCAAGGGAGCAGTCGTCGGGGGAAACGAGGAGGAGTGAGGAGCGGCGCGCTGCCGCCCCTCGACACAAGGAAGACAGGGAAAAGCAGGCGAGGGTGGGAGGGGAGGGAGTACCCTGGGAAGACCAGAAACAAGGTACCGTTTGTGCATGGCACGAAGGCGCTGCACGGACGGGTGACCAAGCTGGTACCTGCACTACAGGCGCGCATACCGACCAAACTGACCAGCGCACTACATATGTTTCTAGAAATGCAGTTAGTCTTCTTGTCCGTTCACTAGATTGGGCCTTCTACTTCAACAACACTTGGTTATAACCTTTCTGATCCACATAATTTGGGAGATTTCAGAGTTCCAGCTCCGCCTTGTACCTACACATAAGCGTGCATACTGACCTTACCAGCCGACGTATTATTCTCTCCGTACAAATACAGTGAATACCATATGTATTCCCATTTCCTTTAAATTATACCATTCCCCACCACCCTACCATGTTTTAACCTATAAGATCTATGTAATTTGACAGATATAGACATTCCAGTCGTACATGGTATTTGCACTACAGGCGCGCATAGCGACCAAACTGACCAGCGCATTACTCATGATTGTAGAGATGCAGTTACTACCATATTCTTGCCAGTCCACTAGATTAGGCCTTCTACTTCAACAACACTAGGTTATAACCTTTCTGATCCACATAATTTGGGAGATTTCAGAGTTCCAGCTCCGCCTTGTACCTACACATAAGCGTGCATACTGACCTTACCAGCCGACGTATTATTCTCTCCGTACAAATACAGTGAATACCATATTTTTTCCCTTTTGCTTTAAATGATACCATTCCCCACCCCCCTACCATGTATTAACCTATTGGATCTATGTAATTTGGCAGATAAAGACATTTTTGTCGTACATGGTACCTGCACTACAGGCGCGCATACCGACCAAACTGACCAGCGCATTACGTATGTTTGTAGAGATGCAGTTAGTGCCATATTCTTGCCAGTCCACTAGATTAGGCCTTCTACTTCAACGACACTAGGTTATAACCTTTCTGATCCACATAGTTTGGGAGATTTCATAGTTCCAGCTCCGCCTTGTACCTACACAGAAGCGTGCATACTGGCCTTCCCGGCCGACACATTATTCTTTCTGTACAAATACAGCAAATACCATATGTATTCCCATTTACTTGAAATTATACCATTCCCCACCCCGCTACCATGTTTTAACTTATCGGATCTATGTAATTTTGGCAGATATAGACATTTCAGTCGTACATAATACCTGCACTACAGGCGCGCATACCGACCAAACCGACGAGCACAGTACTTTGTTTGTAGAGCTGCAGTTAGTACCATATTCTTGTCAGTTCACTAGATTAGGCCTTCTGCTTCAACAACACTTGGTTATAACCTTTCCGATCCACAAAATTTGGGAGATTTCAGAGTTCCAGCTACGCCATGTACCTACACACAAGCATGCATACACCACGGGTGGGATGATGGAAAGCGGGAGAATGGGGCGGGGTGATGGAAAGAGGGAGAATGGGGCGGGGTGATGGAAAGCGGGAGAATGGGGCGGGGTGATGGAAAGAGGGAGAATGGGGCGGGGTGATGGAAAGAGGGAGAATGGGGCGGGGTGCTGGAAAGCGGGAGAATGGGGCGGGGTGATGGAAAGAGGGAGAATGGGGAGGGGTGATGGAAAGCGGGTGAATGGGGCGGGGTGATGGAAAGAGGGAGAATGAAGCGGGGTGATGGAAAGCGGGAGAATGGGGTGGGGTGATGGAAAGCGGAAGAATGGGGCGGGGTGATGGAAAGAGGGAGAATGGGGTGGGGTGATGGAAAGCAGGAGAATGGGGCGGGGTGATAGAAAGTGGTAGAATGGGGCGGGGTGATGGAAAGAGGGAGAATGGGGCGGGGTGATGGAAGGAGGGAGAATGGGGTGGGGTGATGGAAAGAGGGAGAATGGGGCGGGGTGATGGAAAGCGGGAGAATGGGGCGGGGTGATGGAAAGACGGAGAATGGGGCGAGGTGATGGAAAGCGGGAGAATGGGGCGGGGTGATTGAAAGCGGGAGAATGGGGCGGGGTGATGGAAAGAGGGAGAATGGGGCGGGGTGATGGAAAGAGGGAGAATGGGGCGGGGTGATGGAAAGCTGGAGAATGGGGCGGGGTGATGGAAAGCGGGAGAATGGGGCGGGGTGATGGAAAGACGGAGAATGGGGCGGGGCAATGGAAAGCGGGAGAATGGGGCGGGGTGATGGAAAGAGGGAGAATGAAGCGGGGTGATTGAAAGCGGGAGAATGGGGCGGGGTGATGGAAAGAGGGAGAATGGGGCGGGGTGATGGAAAGCGGGAGAATGGGGCGGGGTGATGGAAAGCGGGAGAATGGGGCGGGGTGATGGAAAGCAGGAGAATGGGGCGGGGTGATGGAAAGAGGGAGAATGAAGAGGGGTGATGGAAAGCGGGAGAATGGGGTGGGGTGATGGAAAGAGGGAGAATGGGGCGGGGTGATGGAAAGAGGGAGAATGGGGCGGGGTGATGGAAAAAGGGAGAATGGTGCGGGGTGATGGAAAGAGGGAGAAGGGGGCGGGGTGATGGAAAGAGGGAGAACGGGGTGGGGTGATGGAAAGAGGGAGAGCGGGGCGGGATGATGGAAAGAGGGAGAAGGGGGCGGGGTGATGGAAAGAGGGAGAACGGGGCGGGGTGATGGAAAGAGGGAGAATGGGGCGGGGTGATGGAAAGAGGGAGAGCGGGGCGGGGTGATGGAAAGAGGGAGAATGGGGCGGGGTGATGGAAAGAGGGAGAATGGGGCGGGGTGATGGAAAGCGGGAGAATGGGGCGGGGTGATGGAAAGACGGAGAATGGGGCGGTGTGATGGGAAGCGGGAGAATGGGGCGGGGTGATTGAAAGATGGAGAATGGGGCGGGGTGATGGAACGCGGGAGAATGGGGCGGGGTGATGGAAAGCGAGAGAATGGGGCGGGGTGATGGAAAGCGGGAGAATGGGGCGGGGTGATGGAAAGCGGGAGAATGGGGCGGGGTGCTGGAAAGCGGGAGAACGGGGCGGGGTAATGGAAAGCGGGAGAAAGGGGCAGGGTGATGGAAAGCGGGAGAATGGGGCGGGGTGATGGAAAGCGGGAGAATGGGGCGGGGTTATGGAAATAGGGAGAATGGGGCGGGGTGATGGAAAGAGGGAGAATGGGGCGGGGTGATGGATAGAGGGAGAATGGGGTTGGGTGATGGAAAGCGGGAGAATGGGGCGGGGTGATGGAAAGAGGGAGAATGGGGCAGGGTGATGGAAAGCGGGAGAATGGGGCGGGGTGATGGAAAGAGGGAGAATGGGGTGGGGTGATGGAAAGCGGGAGAAAGGGGCGGGGTGATGGAAAGCGGGAGAATGGGGCGGGTGATGGAAAGCGGGAGAATGGGGCGTGGTGATGGAAAGAGGCAGAATGGGGCGGGGTGATGGAAAGCGGGAGAATGGGGCGGGGTGATGGAAAGCGGGAGAATGGGGCGGGGTGATGGAAAGCGGGAGAATGGGGAGGGGCGATGGAAAGCAGGAGAATGGAGCGGGGTGATGGAAAGCGGGAGAATGGGGCGGGGTGATGGAAAGAGGGAGAATGGGGCGGGGTGATGGAAAGCGGGAGAATGGGGCGGGGTGCTGGAAAGAGGGAGAATGGGGCGGGGTGATGGAAAGCGGGAGAATGGGGCGGGGTGATGGAAAGCGGGAGAATGGGGTGGGGTGATGGAAAACGGGAGGATGGGGCGGGGTGATGGAAAGCGGGAGAATGGGGCGGGGTGATGGAAAGCGGGAGAATGGGGCGGGGTCATGGAAAGAGGGAGAATGGGGAAGGGTGATGGAAAGGGGGAGAATGGGGCGGGGTGATGGAAAGGGGGAGAATGGGGCGGGGTGATGGAAAGAGGGAGAATGGGGCGGGGTGATGGAAAGCGGGAGAATGGGGTGGGATGATGGAAAGAGGAAGAATGGGGCGGGGTGATGGATTGCGGGAGAATGGGGCGGGGTAATGGAAAGAGGGAGAATGGGGCGGGGTGATGGAAAGAGGGAGAATGGGGCGGGGTGATGCAAAGAGGGAGAATGGGGCAGGGTGATGGAAAGCGGGAGAATGGGGCGGGGTGATGGAAAGAGGGAGAATGGGGCGGGGTGATGGAAAGCGGGAGAATGGGGCGGGGTGATGGAAAGAGGGAGAATGGGGCGGGGTAATGGAAAGCGGGAGAATGGGGCGGGGTAATGGAAAGCGGGAGAATGGGGCGGGGTGATGGAAAGAGGGAGAATGAAGCGGGGTGATGGAAAGCGGGAGAATGGGGCGGGGTGATGGAAAGAGGGAGAATGGGGCGGGGTGATGGAAAGCGGGAGAATGGGGCGGGGTGATGGAAAGCGGGAGAATGGGGCGGGGTGATGGAAAGCAGGAGAATGGGGCGGGGTGATGGAAAGAGGGAGAATGTAGAGAGGTGATGGAAAGCGGGAGAATGGGGTGGGGTGATGGAAAGAGGGAGAATGGGGCGGGGTGATGGAAAGAGGGAGAATGTAGAGGGGTGATGGAAAGCGGGAGAATGGGGTGGGGTGATGGAAAGAGGGAGAATGGGGCGGGGTGATGGAAAGAGGGAGAACGGTGCGGGGTGATGGAAAGAGGGAGAAGGGGGCGGGGTGATGGAAAGAGGGAGAACGGGGTGGGGTGATGGAAAGAGGGAGAACGGGGCGGGGTGATGGAAAGAGGGAGAACGGGGCGGGGTGATAGAAAGAGGGAGAACGGGGCGGGATGATGGAAAGAAAGAGAATGGGGCGGGGTGATGGAAAGAAGGAGAATGGGGAGGGGTGATGGAAAGAGGGAGAATGGGGCGGGGTGATGGGAAGAGGGAGAATGGGGCGGGGTGATGGAAAGAGGGAGAATGGGGCGGGGTGATGGAAAGCGGGAGAATGGGGCGGGGTGATGGAAAGCGGGAGAATGGGGCGGGGTGATGGAAAGGGGAAGAATGGGGCGGGGTGATGGATTGCGGGAGAATGGGGCGGGGTGATGGAAAGAGGGAGAATGGAGCGAGGTGATGGAAAGAGGGAGAATGGGGCGGGGTAATGGAAAGAGGAAGAATGGGGCGGGGTGATGGAAAGAGGGAGAATGGAGCGAGGTGATGCAAAGAGGGAGAATGGGGCGGGGTGATGGAAAGAGGGAGAATGGGGCGGGGTGATGGAAAGTGGGAGAATAGGGCGGGGTGATGGAAAGAGGGAGAATTGGGCGGGGTGATGGAAAGAGGGAGAATGGGGCGGGGTGATGGAAAGAGGGAGAATGGGGCGGGGTGATGGAAAGAGGGAGAATGGGGCGGGGTGATGGAAAGAGGGAGAATGGGGCGGGGTGATGGAAAGCTGGAGAATGGGGCGGGGTGATGGAAAGCGGGAGAATGGGGTGGGGTGATGGAAAGCGGGAGAATGGGGCGGGGTGATGGAAAGCGGGAGAATGGGGCGGGGTGATGGAAAGCGGGAGAATGGGGCGGGGTGATGGAAAGAGGGAGAATGGGGCGGGGTGATGGAGAGCGGGAGAATGGAGCGGGATGATGGAAAGAGGGAGAATGGGGCGGGGTGATGGAAAGAGGGAGAATGGGGCGGGGTGATGGAAAGAGGGAGAATGGGGCGGGGTGATGGAAAGAGGGAGAATGGGGCGGGGTGATGGAAAGAGGGAGAATGGGGCGGGGTGATGGAAAGCTGGAGAATGGGGCGGGGTGATGGAAAGCGGGAGAATGGGGCGGGATGATGGAAAGCGGGAGAATGGGGCGGGGTGATGGAAAGAGGGAGGATGGGGCGGGGTGATGGAAAGCGGGAGAATGGGGTGGGGTGATGGAAAGAGGGAGAATGGGGCGGGGTGATAGAAAGTGGGAGAATGGGGCGGGGTGATGGAAAGAGGGAGAATGGGGCGGGGTGATGGAAAGAGGGAGAATGGGGCGGGGTGATGGAAAGAGGGAGAATGGGGCGGGGTGATGGAAAGAGAGAGAATGGGGCGGGGTGATGGAAAGAGGGAGAATGGGGTGGGGTGATGGAAAGCTGGAGAATGGGGCGGGGTGATGGAAAGCGGGAGAATGGGACGGGGTGATGGAAAGCGGGAGAATGGGGCGGGGTGATGGAAAGCTGGAGAATGGGGCGGGGTGATGGAAAGCAGGAGAATGGGGCGGGGTGATGGAAAGCGGGAGAATGGGGCGGGGTGATGGAAAGCGGGAGAATGGGGCGGGGTGATGGAAAGAGGGAGAATGGGGCTGGGTGATGGAAAGAGGGAGAATGGGGTGGGGTGATGGAAAGAGGGAGAATGGGGCGGGGTGATGGAAAGCTGGAGAATGGGATGGGGTGATGGAAAGCGGGAGAATGGGGCGGGATGATGGAAAACGGGAGAATGAGGCGGGGTGATGGAAAGAGGGATGATGGGGCGGGGTGATGGAAAGCGGGAGAATGGGGCGGGGTGATGGAAAGAGGGAGAATAAGGCGGGGTGATAGAAAGAGGGAGAATGGGGCGGGGTGATGGAAAGAGGGAGAATGGGGCGGGGTGATGGAATCAGGGAGAATGGGGCGGGGTGATGGAAAGAGGGAGAATGGGGCGGGGTGATGGAAAGAGGGAGAATGGGGCGGGGTGATAGAAAGTGGGAGAATGGGGCGGGGTGATGGAAAGAGGGAGAATGGGGCGGGGTGATGGAAAGAGGGAGAATGGAGAAGGGTGATGGAAAGGGGGAGAATGGGGCGGGGTGATGGAAAGGGGGAGAATGGGGCGGGGTGATGGAAAGAGGGAGAATGGGGCGGGGTGATGGAAAGCGGGAGAATGGGGCGGGGTGATGGAAAGCGGGAGAATGGGGTGGGGTGATGGAAAGCGGGAGAATGGGGCGGGGTGATGGAAAGCGGGAGAATGGGGCAGGGTGATGGAAAGCAGGAGAATGGAGCGGGGTGATGGAAAGAGGGAGAATGGGGCGGGGTGATGGAAAGAGGGAGAATGGGGCGGGGTGATGGAAAGAGGGAGAATGGGGCGGGGTGATGGAAAGAGGGAGAATGGGGCGGGGTGATGGAAAGAGGGAGAATGGGGCGGGGTGATGGAAAGAGGGAGAATGGGGCGGGGTGATGGAAAGAGGGAGAATGGGGCGGGGTGATGGAAAGCTGGAGAATGGGGCGGGGTGATGGAAAGCTGGAGAATGGGGCGGGGTGATGGAAAGCGGGAGAATGGGGTGGGGTGATGGAAAGCGGGAGAATGGGGCGGGGTGATGGAAAGCGGGAGAATGGGGCGGGGTGATGGAAAGCGGGAGAATGGGGCGGGGTGATGGAAAGAGGGAGAATGGGGCGGGGTGATGGAAAGCGGGAGAATGGAGCGGGATGATGGAAAGAGGGAGAATGGGGCGGGGTGATGGAAAGAGGGAGAATGGGGCGGGGTGATGGAAAGAGGGAGAATGGGGCGGGGTGATGGAAAGAGGGAGAATGGGGCGGGGTGATGGAAAGAGGGAGAATGGGGCTGGGTGATGGAAAGAGGGAGAATGGGGTGGGGTGATGGAAAGAGGGAGAATGGGGCGGGGTGATGGAAAGCTGGAGAATGGGGCGGGGTGATGGAAAGCGGGAGAATGGGGCGGGATGATGGAAAGCGGGAGAATGGGGCGGGGTGATGGAAAGAGGGAGGATGGGGCGGGGTGATGGAAAGCGGGAGAATGGGGCGGGGTGATGGAAAGAGGGAGGATGGGGCGGGGTGATGGAAAGAGGGAGAATAAGGCGGGGTGATAGAAAGAGGGAGAATGGGGCGGGGTGATGGAAAGAGGGAGAATGGGGCAGGGTGATGGAATCAGGGAGAATGGGGCGGGGTGATGGAAAGAGGGAGAATGGGGCGGGGTGATGGAAAGAGGGAGAATGGGGCGGGGTGATAGAAAGTGGGAGAATGGGGCGGGGTGATGGAAAGAGGGAGAATGGGGCGGGGTGATGGAAAGAGGGAGAATGGGGCTGGGTGATGGAAAGAGGGAGAATGGGGTGGGGTGATGGAAAGAGGGAGAATGGGGCGGGGTGATGGAAAGCTGGAGAATGGGGCGGGGTGATGGAAAGCGGGAGAATGGGGCGGGATGATGGAAAGCGGGAGAATGGGGCGGGGTGATGGAAAGAGGGAGGATGGGGCGGGGTGATGGAAAGCGGGAGAATGGGGCGGAGTGATGGAAAGAGGGAGGATGGGGCGGGGTGATGGAAAGAGGGAGAATGGGGCGGGGTGATGGAAAGAGGGAGAATGGGGCGGGGTGATAGAAAGTGGGAGAATGGGGCGGGGTGATGGAAAGAGGGAGAATGGGGCGGGGTGATGGAAAGAGGGAGAATGGAGAAGGGTGATGGAAAGGGGGAGAATGGGGCGGGGTGATGGAAAGGGGGAGAATGGGGCGGGGTGATGGAAAGAGGGAGAATGGGGCGGGGTGATGGAAAGCGGGAGAATGGGGCGGGGTGATGGAAAGCGGGAGAATGGGGCGGGGTGATGGAAAGCGGGAGAATGGGGCGGGGTGATGGAAAGCGGGAGAATGGGGCGGGGTGATGGAAAGCGGGAGAATGGGGCAGGGTGATGGAAAGCGGGAGAATGGAGCGGGGTGATGGAAAGAGGGAGAATGGGGCGGGGTGATGGAAAGAGGGAGAATGGGGCGGGGTGATGGAAAGAGGGAGAATGGGGCGGGGTGATGGAAAGAGGGAGAATGGGGCGGGGTGATGGAAAGAGGGAGAATGGGGCGGGGTGATGGAAAGAGGGAGAATGGGGCGGGGTGATGGAAAGAGGGAGAATGGGGCGGGGTGATGGAAAGAGGGAGAATGGGGCGGGGTGATGGAAAGAGGGAGAATGGGGCGGGGTGATGGAAAGCTGGAGAATGGGGCGGGGTGATGGAAAGCGGGAGAATGGGGTGGGGTGATGGAAAGCGGGAGAATGGGGCGGGGTGATGGAAAGCGGGAGAATGGGGCGGGCTGATGGAAAGCGGGAGAATGGGGCGGGGTGATGGAAAGAGGGAGAATGGGGCGGGGTGATGGAAAGCGGGAGAATGGAGCGGGATGATGGAAAGAGGGAGAATGGGGCGGGGTGATGGAAAGAGGGAGAATGGGGCGGGGTGATGGAAAGAGGGAGAATGGGGCGGGGTGATGGAAAGAGGGAGAATGGGGCGGGGTGATGGAAAGAGGGAGAATGGGGCTGGGTGATGGAAAGAGGGAGAATGGGGTGGGGTGATGGAAAGAGGGAGAATGGGGCGGGGTGATGGAAAGCTGGAGAATGGGGCGGGGTGATGGAAAGCGGGAGAATGGGGCGGGGTGCTGGAAAGCGGGAGAATGGGGAGGGGTGATGGAAAGCGGGAGAATGGGGCGGGGTGCTGGAAAGCGGGAGAATGGGTCGGGGTGATGGAAAGCGGGAGAATGGGGCGGGGTGATGGAAAGCGGGAGAATGGGGCGGGGTGATGGAAAGCGGGAGAATGGGGCGGGGTGATGGAAAGAGGGAGAATGGGGTGGGGTGATGGAAAGCGGGAGAATGGGCCGGGGTGATGGAAAGAGGGAGAATGGGGCGGGGTGATGGAAAGCGGGAGAATGGGGCGGGGTGAGGGAAAGCGGGAGAATGGGGCGGGTGATGGAAAGCGGGAGAATGGGGCGGGGTGATGGAAAGAGGGAGAATGGGGCGGGGTGCTGGAAAGTGTTATAGTCACAATAGCCTTGAATGTGCCTAAAACGAAAGATAGAGTGCACAGACGGATTTCTGCACAGCGGCTTCAAACGTTGATAGCGTTTTGCTCACAGCTGCAAATGACTTGATTCAAATTGGATCTGGAGCGTCTTGACGTCGCCTACAATAAGCAATTTAGATTGCACGATTTCATAAAGAATTGACGACACAGCGTCGGTTTGAACGAACGGTACTATGGCAGCCACTATAGTCTTAGAACACAAGATAGGAAGAGTTACGAGTTGGGAATGACTCCCAGCTCCTACAAACCCCAAGAGCCGAGGTACAGTGATGTGGAACAGTGCCACACTGTCCCCAACCACGAAGGGTCTCGAAACTACCCTCCACAAGGGCCTACACCAAGAGAAATGTTACACTACACAAAGTAATGCAACTATTCTCACTATCTTAAAGTTTACCCTTTTGGAGAGCTTCGAAATAACTTGAATCTTGAAACCAAGGCTCTGGTTCTTCAAGGTAAATTCTTCCTTGAGTTCTTGGAAGTCTGCTGCGCACACCTGCGACACGCCGAACGTTCCACACACGACAAAATAGAAAACCGCACACGACACGCAAACGACGACGTGACACGCGACTAGCGATAACTCGCTATTGACTCGACGCACACATTCAAAATCATGCTTCATCATACACACACTATTGTAAACATGAATTATATATTATTTCATGCCCTCATACCATTCCATGCACACACGCATGCACGCACACGGACAACAAGCCGAATGCAAACCGTAGGGTTGCACCAACAGAAAGCGGGAGAATGGGGCGGAGTGATGGAAAGCGGGAGAATGGGGCGGGGTGCTGGAAAGCGGGAGAATGGGGCGGGGTGAGGGAAAGCGGGAGAATGGGGCGGGGTGATGGAACGCGGGAGAATGGGGCGGGTGATGGAAAGCAGGAGAATGGGGCGGGGTCATGGAAAGAGGGAGAATGGGGCGGGGTGATGGAAAGATGGAGAATGGGGCGGGGTGATGGAACGCGGGAGAATGGGGCGGGGTGATGGAAAGCGGGAGAATGGGGCGGGGTGATGGAAAGCGGGAGAATGGGGCGGGGTGATGGAAAGCGGGAGAATGGGGCGGGGTGCTGGAAAGCGGGAGAACTGGGCGGGGTAATGGAAAGCGGGAGAAAGGGGCAGGGTGATGGAAAGCGGGAGAATGGGGCGGGGTGATGGAAAGCGGGAGAATGGGGCGGGGTTATGGAAATAGGGAGAATGGGGCGGGGTGATGGAAAGAGGGAGAATGGGGCGGGGTGATGGATAGAGGGAGAATGGGGTTGGGTGATGGAAAGCGGGAGAATGGGGCGGGGTGATGGAAAGAGGGAGAATGGGGCAGGGTGATGGAAAGCGGGAGAATGGGGCGGGGTGATGGAAAGAGGGAGAATGGGGTGGGGTGATGGAAAGCGGGAGAAAGGGGCGGGGTGATGGAAAGCGGGAGAATGGGGCGGGTGATGGAAAGCGGGAGAATGGGGCGTGGTGATGGAAAGAGGGAGAATGGGGCGGGGTGATGGAAAGCGGGAGAATGGGGCGGGGTGATGGAAAGCGGGAGAATGGGGCGGGGTGATGGAAAGCGGGAGAATGGGGCGGGGCGATGGAAAGCGGGAGAATGGAGCGGGGTGATTGAAAGCGGGAGAATGGGGCGGGGTGATGGAAAGAGGGAGAATGGGGCGGGGTGATGGAAAGCGGGAGAATGGGGCGGGGTGCTGGAAAGAGGGAGAATGGGGCGGGGTGATGGAAAGCGGGAGAATGGGGCGGGGTGATGGAAAGCGGGAGAATGGGGTGGGGTGATGGAAAGCGGGAGGATGGGGCGGGGTGATGGAAAGCGGGAGAATGGGGCGGGGTGATGGAAAGCGGGAGAATGGGGCGGGGTGATGGAAAGCGGGAGAATGGGGCGGGGTGATGGAAAGAGGGAGAATGGGGCGGGGTGATGGAAAGCGGGAGAATGGGGCGGGGTGATGGAAAGAGGGAGAATGGGGCGGGGTGATAAAAAGCGGGAGAATGGGGCGGGTGATGGAAAGCGGGAGAATGGGACGGGGTGATGGAAAGCGGGAGAATGGGGCGGGTGATGGAAAGCGGGAGAATGGGGCGGGTGATGGAAAGCGGGAGAATGGGGCGGGGAGATGGAAAGAGGGAGAATGGGGCGGGGTGATGGAAAGAGGGAGAATGGGGCGGGGTGATGGAAAGAGGGAGAATGGGGCGGGTGATGGAATGCGGGAGAATGGGGTGGGGTGATGGAAAGAGGGAGAATGGGGCGGGGTGATGGAAAGAGGGAGAATGGGGCGGGGTGATGGAAAGAGGGAGAATGGGGCGGGGTGATTGGAAAGAGGGAGAATGGGGCGGGTGATGGGAATGCGGGAGAATGGGGCGGGTGATGGAAAGCGGGAGAATGGGGCGGGGTGATGGAAAGCGGGAGAATGGGGCGGGGTGATGGAAAGAGGGAGAATGGGGCGGGGTGATGGAAAGCGGGAGAATGGGGCGGGGTGATGGAAAGAGGGAGAATGGGGCGGGGTGATGGAAAGCGGGAGAATGGGGCGGGTGATGGAAAGCGGGAGAATGGGGCGGGGTGATGGAAAGCGGGAGCATGGGGCGGGGTGATGGAAAGAGGGACAATGGGGCGGGGTGATGGAAAGCGGGAGAATGGGGCGGGGTGATGGAAAGCGGGAGAATGGGGCGGGGTGATGGAAAGCGGGAAAATGGGGCGGGATAATGGAAAGCGGGAGAATGGGGCGGGGTGCTGGAAAGCGGGAGAATGGGGCGGAGTGATGGGAAGCGGGAGAATGGGGCGGGGTGATGGAAAGCGGGAGAATCGGGCGGGGTGATGGAAAGCGGGAGAATGGGGCGGGGTGCTAGAAAGCGGGAGAATGGAGAGGGGTGATGGAAAGCGGGAGAATGGGGCGGGGTGTTGGAAAGCGGGAGAATGGGGCGGGGTGATGGAAAGCGGGAGAATGGGGCGGGGTGATGGAAAGCGGGAGATGGGGCGGGGTGATGGAAAGCGGGAGAATGGGGCGGGGTGATGGAAAGAGGGAGAATGGGGCGGGGTGATGGAAAGCGGGAGAATGGGGCGGGGTGATGGAAAGAGGGAGAATGGGGCGGGGTGATAAAAAGCGGGAGAATGGGGCGGGTGATGGAAAGCGGGAGAATGGGACGGGGTGATGGAAAGCGGGAGAATGGGGCGGGTGATGGAAAGCGGGAGAATGGGGCGGGGTGATGGAAAGAGGGAGAATGGGGCGGGAGATGGAAAGAGGGAGAATGGGGCGGGGTGATGGAAAGAGGAAGAATGGGGCGGGGTGATGGAAAGCAGGAGAATGGGGCGGGGTGATGGAAAGAGGGAGAATGGGGCGGGGTGATGGAAAGAGGGAGAATGGGGCGGGGTGATGGAAAGCGGGAGAATGGGGCGGGGTGATGGAAAGCGGGAGAATGGGGCGGGGTGATGGAAAGAGGGAGAATGGGGCAGGGTGATGGAAAGAGGGAGAATGGGGCGGGGTGATGGAAAGCGGGAGAATGGGGCCCCTTTTTTTTTGCTAGTCCTCTAGATTAGACTATTTTCCACACCCACAACAAGTGGCTCCATTTCGTTCCATGTCATTTGCAAGATTTGAGCACCCGAACTCTGCCTGGTACGCCCATTATAGGTGCGCATACTGCCCCGACTGCCCAACGCATCACTTTGATTGGTCCACTGCATTGGATGCCCCTTTTTTATGCTATTGCTCTAGATTAGACTATTTTCCAGACCCACAACAAGTGGCTCCATTTCGTTCCATGTTGTTTGAAAGATTTGAGCGCCCGAACTCTGCTGGTACGCCCATTATAGGTGCGCATACTGCCCCGACTGCCCAACGCATCACTTTGATTGGTCCACTGCATTGGATGCCCCTTTTTTATGCTAGATCTCTAGATTAGACTATTTCCACACCCACAACAAGTGGCTCCATTTTGTTCCATGTCGTTTGCAAGATTTGAGCGCCCGAACTCTGCCTGGTACGCCCGCATACTGCCCCGACTGCCCAACGCATCACATTGATTGGTCCACTGCATTGGATGTCTCTTTTTTATGCTAGTCCTCTAGATTAGACTATTTTCCACACCCACGACAAGTGGCTCCATTTCGTTCCAAGTCGTTTGGAAGATTTGAGCGCCCGAACTCTGCCTGGTACGCCCAAAATAGGTTCGCATACTGCCCCGACTGCCCCACGCATCACTTTGATTGGTCCACTGCATTGGATGCCCCTTTTTAAGCTAGTCCTCTAGATTATACCTTTTTCCACACCCACAACAAATGGCTCCATTTCGTTCCATGTCGTTTGGAAGATTTGAGCGCCCGAACTCTGCCTGGTACGCCCATTATAGGTGCGCATACTGCCCCGACTGCCCAACGGATCACTTTGATTGGTCCACTGCATTGGATGTCCCTTTTTTTATGCTATTCCTCTAGATTATACTATTTTCCACACCCACAACAAGTGGCTCCATTTCGTTCCATGTCGTTTGGAACATTTGAGCGCCCGAACTCTGCCTGGTACGACCATTATAAGTGCGCATACTACCCCGACTGCCCCACGCATCACTTTGATTGGTCCACTGCATTGGATGCCCCTTTTTTTATGCTATTCCTCTAGATTAGACTATTTTCCACACCCACAACAAATGGCTCCATTTCGTTCCATGTCGTTTGGAAGATTTGAGCGCCCGAACTCTGCCTGGTACGCCCATTATAGGTGCGCATACTGCCCCGACTTCCCAACGCATCACATTGATTGGTCCACTGCATTGGATGCCCCTTTGTTTTTTGCTATTCCTGTAGATTATACTATTTTCCACACCCACAACAAGTGGCTCCATTTCGTTCCATGTCGTTTGGAAGATTTGAGCTCCCGAACTCTGCCTGGTACACCCATTATAGGTGCGCATACTGCCCCGACTGCCCAACGCATCACTTTGATTGGTCCACTGCATTGGATGCCCCCTTTTTTTTGCTATTCCTGTAGATTAGACTATTTTCCACACCCACAACAAGTGGCTCCATTTCGTTCCATGTCGTTTGGAAGATTTGAGCGCCCGAACTCTGCCTGGTACGCCCATTATAGGTGCGCATACTGCCCCGACTGCCCAACGCATCACTTTGATTGGTCCACTGCATTGGATGTCCCTTTTTTTATGCTAGTCCTCTAGATTATACTATTTTCCACACCCACAACAAGTGGCTCCATTTCGTTCCATGTCGTTTGGAAGATTTGAGCGCCCGAACTCTGCCTGGTACGCCCATTATAGGTGCGCATACTGCCCCGACTGCCCAACGCATCACTTTGATTGGTCCACTGCATTGGATGCCCCTTTTTTATGCTAGTCCTCTAGATTGGACTATTTTCCACACCCACAACAAGTGGCTCCATTTCGTTTTATGCCGTTTGGGAGATTTGAGCGCCCAAACTCTGCCTGGTACGCACAAAATAGGTTCGCATACTGCCCCGACTGCCCCACGCATCACTTTGATTGGTCCACTGCATTGGATGCCCCTTTTTTTATGCTAGTCCTCTAGATTAGACTATTTCTACACTCACAACAAGTGGCTCCATTGCGTTCCATGTCGTTTGGAATATTTGAGCTCCCGAACTCTGCCTGGTACGCCCATTATAGGTGCGCATACTGCCCCAACTGCCCAACGCATCACATTGATTGGTCCACTGCATTGGATGCCCCTTTTTTATGCTAGTCCTCTAGATTAGACTATTTTCTACACCCACAACAAGTGGCTCCATTTCGTTCCATGTCGTTTGGAAGATTTGAGCACCCGAACTCTGCCTGGTACGCCCATTATAGGTGCGCATACTGCCCCGACTGCCCAACGCATCACATTGATTGGTCCACTGCATTGGATGCCCCTTTGTTTTTTGCTATTCCTGTAGATTATACTATTTTCCACACCCACAACAAGTGGCTCCATTTCGTTCCATGTCGTTTGGAAGATTTGAGCTCCCGAACTCTGCCTGGTACACCCATTATAGGTGCGCATACTGCCCCGACTGCCCAACGCATCACTTTGATTGGTCCACTGCATTGGATGCCCCCTTTTTTTTTCTATTCCTGTATATTAGACTATTTTCCACACCCACAACAAGTGGCTCCATTTCGTTCCATGTCGTTTGGAAGATTTGAGCGCCCGAACTCTGCCTGGTACGCCCATTATAGGTGCGCATACTGCCCCCGACTGCCCAACGCATCACATTGATTGGTCCACTGCATTGGATGCCCCTTTTTTATGCTAGATATCTAGATTATACTATTTTCCACACCCACGACAAGTGGCTCCATTTCGTTCCATGCCGTTTGGAAGATTTGAGCTCCCGAACTCTGCCTGGTACGCCCATTATAGGTGCGCATACTGCCCCGACTGCCCAACGCATCACATTGATTGGTCCACTGCATTGGATGCCCCTTTTTTATGCTAGTCCTCTAAATTAGAATATTTTCTAACCCATAACAAGTGGCTTCATTTCGTTCCATGTCGTTTTGAAGATTTGAGCTCCCGAACTCTGCCTGGTACGCCCATTATAGGTGCGCATACTGCCCCGACTGCCCAACGCATCACATTGATTGGTCCACTGCATTGGATGGCCCTTTGTTTCTTACTTCCTGTAGATTAGACTATTTTCCACACCCACAACAAATGGCTCCATTTTGTTCCATGTCGTTTGGAAGATTTGAGCGCCCGAACTCTGCCTGGTACGCCCATTATAGGTGCGCATACTGCCCCGACTGCCCAACGCATCACTTTGATTGGTCCACTGCATTGGATGTCTCTTTTTTTATGCTAGTCCTCTAGATTATACTATTTTCCACACCCACAACGTGGCTCCATTTCGTTCCATGTCGTTTGCAAGATTTGAGCGCCCGAACTTTACCTGGTACGCCCGCATACTGCCCCGACTGCCCAACGCATCACTTTGATTGGTCCACTGCATTGGATGCCCCTTTTGTTATGCTATTCCTCTAGACTAGACTATTTTCCACACCCACAACAAGTGGCTCCATTTCGTTCCATGTCGTTTGGAAGATTTGAGCTCCCGAACTCTGCCTGGTACGCCCATTATAGGTGCGCATACTGCCCCGACTGCCCAACGCATCACTTTGATTGGTCCACTGCATTGAACGCCCATTTTTTTTTGCTATTCCTGTAGATTAGACTATATTCCACCCCCACAACAAGTGGCTCCATTTCGTTCCATGTCGTTTGGAAGATTTGAGCGCCCGAACTCTGCCTGGTACGCCCATTATAGGTGCGCATACTGCCCCGACTGCCCAACGCATCACTTTGATTGGTCAACTGCATTGGATGTCCCTTTTTTATGCTAGTCCTCTAGACTATACTATTTTCCACACCCACAACAAGTGGCTCCATTTCGTTCCATGTCGTTTGGAAGATTTGAGCGCCCGAACTCTGCCTGGTACGACCATTATAGGTGCGCATACTGCCCCGACTGCCCAACGCATCACTTTGATTGGTCCACTGCATTGGATGCCCCTTTTTTATGCTAGTCCTCTAGATTGGACTATTTTCCACACCCACAACAAGTGGCTCCATTTTGTTTTATGCCGTTTGGAAGATTTGAGCGCCCAAACTCTGCCTGGTACGCCCAAAATAGGTTCGCATACTGCCCCGACTGCCCCACGCATCACTTTGATTGGTCCACTGCATTGGATGCCCCTTTTTTTATGCTAGTCCTCTAGATTAGACTATTTCTACACTCACAACAAGTGGCTCCATTGCGTTCCATGTCGTTTGGAATATTTGAGCTCCCGAACTCTGCCTGGTACGCCCATTATAGGTGCGCATACTGCCCCAACTGCCCAACGCATCACATTGATTGGTCCACTGCATTGGATGCCCCTTTTTATGCTAGTCCTCTAGATTAGACTATTTTCTACACCCACAACAAGTGGCTCCATTTCGTTCCATGTCGTTTGGAAGATTTGAGCACCCGAACTCTGCCTGGTACGCCCATTATAGGTGCGCATACTGCCCCGACTGCCCAACGCATCACATTGATTGGTCCGCTGCACTGAATGCCCCCTTTTTTATGCTAGTCCTCTAGATTAGACTATTTTCTACACCCACAACAAGTGGCTCCATTTCGTTCCATGTCGTTTGGAAGATTTGAGCACCCGAACTCTGCCTGGTACGCCCATTATAGGTGCGCATACTGCCCCGACTGCCCAACGCATCACATTGATTGGTCCACTGCATTGGATGCCCCTTTGTTTTTTGCTATTCCTGTAGATTATACTATTTTCCACACCCACAACAAGTGGCTCCATTTCGTTCCATGTCGTTTGGAAGATTTGAGCTCCCGAACTCTGCCTGTTACACCCATTATAGGTGCGCATACTGCCCCGACTGCCCAACGCATCACTTTGATTGGTCCACTGCATTGGATGCCCCCATTTTTTTGCTATTCCTGTAGATTAGACTATTTTCCACACCCACAACAAGTGGCTCCATTTCGTTCCATGTCGTTTGGAAGATTTGAGCGCCCGAACTCTGCCTGGTACGCCCATTATAGGTGCGCATACTGCCCCGACTGCCCAACGCATCACTTTGATTGGTCCACTGCATTGGATGTCCCTTTTTTTATGCTAGTC